TATAAATTCAACTTAATTATTGTAAGATAAAGTTTGTATATTTATATACGATAAATTTTTTATGTTGAAATATACACATTTTGAATGAGACTAAATATTTATAAATAGTCTAATAACATGTGATAAAAGAATATAACAAATAATAAATTTTTTTAAAATAAATTTTTAAATGATTCTAATATTATTTTAAGAAAGAAAATTTATCTTTAATTCATCATATAATATCATATTAAAAACTAAATTTTAACCTAATTTAAATCAAATTTGTAAGTTAAGTTATGTTTTAATTTCATAAATCACTTTTTATAGGATTTTATAATTTATATATTTTTTTAGAATTTTGGATCAAAATGATATTCTTTTTAATCTAAAAAACACACAAATTTTGAAAAACAAAAATAAACTAATATTACAATTTTATTGTTTTAAACTATGACCCATTTTTTCCCACCTTTCACAAATAAGGTTCTAAATTAAGAGAAATTAAGATGAAGAGCATTGGTACGTAGGTATTAGGAAGTAAATACACCCCCTCTCACGGAATATTATCGTTATTCACTATTGATTAATTTTTATTTATATTTAATTGCTTCTTTAAATATAATTAATCAATTCCATGCATGCATTTGTATTAATTAGGGCTGGCCATAGGCGACCCCTACTAATGGTGATTAAACTTCACATCCTACAATTTTAGAAGAGTCTTGATTTCACTTAATTGGTCACAAATGGATATGTAAAATGATTCCATTATTCTATTCTATTAAGCAACTACACGAGGTTAGTTTCATTTCTCTATTTTGTATCAATAAATGACCCATTCTATCTTCTTCATACACATACTATATTATCCCTTCTAACTTCTTCATACATATATTTTGTTTCAAACTTAGGGTTTAGGTCAATAATATGAAAATAATATCCAACTCCAAACTATTCAGTAGTTGTTCGGTAAATTAAAAAATTATTTGCAGAAGATCCTTCAATATCAAAAGTCAATAAAGATTTGAGTATTTAAATATCAATGTTGTATTAAATGCAATCATTTTTATCTTCTATATATCTTATATTTATAAATTTCAGAATTAAAATTTTATTAATCAGAGTTTAATTATAATCCAATCGATGATAATTACAGTTTATCTTAAACTAAATTAATCATAATTTTTCTCCTTTCAGTCGTACGATACAAAGGAAATTCATGTAAAAATACTTATATAATTTAGTTAAGTTAGGGAGTTCATATAGCATTTTTATGAAAAACAGATGAATAATTAGTTCTCAAGTGTTCATTACATTCAACCTAATGTCTTATAAATTCTTACCAATTTCCCATAAATAAATTGAAACTCGTGATATACATTTTATCAAACTATCTTTTCTATTTATTAACTTAAATCGAATTAATAGTAATTGAGTCAAGTATGCTTTTTTATTATCTTAATTCTTTGTCTATTTCTGCTTTTAATCTTTCAACATTTTGTTTATTAATGCTACGCTCTTAACCATTGTTTCAAAAATGTTTCTAGATTTTTTTAAAAATATTAATGTTGAGTGATAATGTTTGGTAAATTTTAATGTTAGAACTTGTGTATTGACACATTTTATTAAAGTCGCATATAATGAAAAAACTTATAATACATTTTTTCTAAGTTTCTTTTTCAATGTTTTTAACTAATTTTAATAGGTCCCATAATATAATATATTTTTATATACTACTTGTTAGTTTCCAATTAACAGCAATGTTTTCGAAGTTTTTATACAATAATTGATTGTGTTGATGCAAGTCATATATATATATATATATATATATATATATATATATATATATATATATATATATATATATATATATATATATATATATATATATATATATATATATCTTTATTCGTGGATATAAATAATAAAAGAGAAATAATTATAATAAAAGACCTAAAGAAGAATAATTATAATTTATTATACGTGGATATAAATAATAAAAGAGGAATAATTATAATAAAAGAGCTTTAGAGGAACAATCATAATTTATTCATATACAGTATTCAAAACAAACTAAATAACTAAGAAAACATTATATTACCTAGTTTTGATATCTAAAGAACAAAATTTTAAAGAATACCTAAAGAACATATCTACATCCCTAATTAATACACCTCCTTATTTATCCTGAGATGCAAAAATTCTAACAACAATCTTATTATTTATACACTCCAAGTAATTGCAACAGTCTAACATCTTTCAAGACCAACAAAGAAACTTCACATTCGGAGTTTCTCAATCTTCATCGGAAACATTATTTTAGAACCCCAATCTATGTTATTAATTTTTTTTTATATTTTGTGAGATCTTTTTATATATATTTCTTCAAACTTTACAAAAATAAAATAAAAAATCAATATAAAAAACTCATGAAATATGAAAAATTATATATACAAGGACTCAAATAAAATAATATACATATTCGAAAAGTCATATAAAAAGGTAGGTTGAGAATTTAATCAATATATATTTTTTGGACAGTTTCACTTTTTTTTTTCTTTTTCATACCATAGCTTGCATTCTTTCTCTTTTACTAATGCCTTTCTTACTTTATAATTTTTGTAATCAATAACAAAAAATGTTGTAAATGAATAAGATAATTTTTTTCTAAAATTAAAACAAATAAACAACTCGTATCAATTAATTATCTGAAGAATAAATGGGACTTTTCAGTTAGTAATTTTTAAAGCCAATTTTTCTGTCAAGCAATCTCCCTGTTGTTGTTTTTTTTTTTCTTTCTAAAGTTACATTTTGTTATGCAAATTATTATATAAAATAGTTATTGAAAGGTTATGATCCTCTGCCTAGCTAATGTCAATGTAGGGATCCATTCCCTTCTTAATTACATATTAATCAAATTTCCAAATTCTTTTAAATTCTCCCAGTAACAGTATACTTTATGTTGAGCATTATTTAAAAATTAATTTTATTGTTGCTTGAAATTAAAGCAAAGAAATCATAGGTAACTCCACCAAGCTATTAATAAGATTCCTGACATGTAATTAAGTTGTAGGGATTATTATAAACGAAGCTCGTTTCAATGGAGATTACCATTGAAATTTGTAAGAGTTGGAGTTGGTGTGGTAGAAAACCCAAGCTTTCATTGCATTAATTGCATCACATGATTCAAAGTTATATTCAATTTATTTCCAGGCGATGTAGTATCAGTGTTAGAGATTATGATACTGTATGGTAATTTAAATTAAACTAAATTTCAGTTTATTATCCTAAAGTAAAATCCATTAATTTAATCTAGCAAGCAACACTTTCAACGTAAAATATTAAAATTAAAAATTGGAACAGCCTTAACAGTTAAATATCAGTGTTAAAAGAAGAATCCTTAACATGAGACACAAACATGAGTTTCAAGGCTTCTATCCTCTTATAGAGACAACAGTCCCAATACACACAAAAAAGTCTTACATTACTGAGAAATTGAAAGTCAAAGATATTTTATAGGCACTTTTAGGTTGAAGCAAAAAGATATTCTTAAATTAAAAATAATTAAAGAAAGTGAAAAGTTTTAGAAGTTCAACCCCTCGAAAGGTGAGACCATGGACATGGAAGCTGAGACAGAAACTTGTCTGTGAGGTTTATTGCGAACGTTGAAGACAATAAAAAATGGCTCAAGAAACAGACATCTCACCACGTTGTAAGGAAAAAAAACATGAGACCTCCAAGGCAGACATTAAATGAGCATCGTGGTTCTCAAGATTCATTTTCGAGATGCATGATGTTTTCTTCCCATTATATGGTGAATGATTTATGACAGATAATTTTTTTATATTTTTTAACAATGTTTTTGGAATGCTCGTTAAAAACTGAAAAATAATAAATTTGTTCAACATTTTGGAAGTTATTGTATCTACAATTATAAAGAAGTAAGTATTACTAATTAAGTCATAATTAAATTTTAAACCACTGCTTTCACTCGCTCAAGTTTTGAAGTTGGTGAAATCCTAACTAAGATTTGGATAAAAATTTCCACCAATATGAGAGGTTGTGCGATATGTTGCAAGGTCATGTATTTCACTTCCATATGCACTTTTTTATTCTGATTACTAGGCCGTGTTTTTTATCCGTTGGTCATCATCTCTTTTGGAGCTGACACAGTTTCAAAGCCCATTGAGCAGATTGCGGCAAAACATGACGGGTACAAATTCTATGAGCTGATGGGCTGATGCCTTTCATTTTAATGGGGCTTTGCTACTCTCATCATACTGTAACTTCTTCCTGTACCTCCATACATTTCAACCTGCACCCTATAGAATTATGAAATGTCTAATTTATTCATATTTTCTTCCTCCTCTTTCACTTCCACCAACATACCTTCATCCATTTCCATTAACTTCCATTAGTGTCCTTTCATTCACCTCCATTGGTGTCATTTCTTTTTCTTTCACCTCAATCCTTTCCTCTTCGACCTCCACCACTCATCACCTTCTTCTACCAGTCTCTCCTTCCACTTTTCACTTTTTTTTTTTCAGAAAGACAAATTGTATAGTTTAAAATATAAAATTTAGATTTTAAATTGAATATTTCAAAATACATATTCAAAACATATGATTCAAAATACAATTTTTGCATTTCCAAAATGTCTCTAAATTTTGTATTTTGGAACTCAAAATAAAAAAAGGATTAATTGTCATTTTCAAGAAATGCAAAAAGCAATTTTAGAGGTGCGGGAAAGAAGCTCTTTCTCCCAACTTGTACCCAATAAAAATGTAGTTATATTAAAAGGGGCTTTCTTCATGCACTCCACATTTTTCTTATTGTACCCCTAAATTTTTCTAAATACCTTAATATCCCTTGACTTTTGACTAGGGTTAAACCGTAATTTGAAGGTGCAGGAATAAAGCCCAGTTAAAAAAAGGTTTGAGGAATGATTGAAACATGGTCCCAACAGAAAGGAACAAAAAATGAAGAAAAACAATAGCCACTTAAAAGGTGAAAGAAACACGGAGCACTCATTGGAGGGAAGAACAGAAGAGTGTAGATATTGGAGCGAATGGTGATGCAGGAGAGGAGCACCCCACGCGCCAATTCCAACGTGTGCATATACCACCATGCAGCATCATGCTTCATCATGTATCTACCTCACACTAAGAACCTCATTGCTCAACTAACATAACACGTTCGTTTATCCTCTTCTATGCAACCATGCTTCTCAGAACCGCTTCTTCTTTCTCTCTGGTCAACGCCAACGCCAACGCCGACGCCGACCATATACTCCCTCTGATAAACCCTTCTTCTGCTATTCGCTGCTATTCTCATGCCAAAAGCTTCGTTCCCTGCGCCACCAAGGGCTCAAACAACCGTCCCTTAACCGGCGTCGTTTTTGAACCCTTTGAAGAGGTCAAGAAGGAGCTCGACCTTGTTCCCACACTTCCAGAAGCTTCCCTTGCTCGCCAGAAGTACACCAATGAGAGTGAAGCTGTTGTCAACGAACAGATCAAGTGCGTTGGGCACCCTGCTTCGATTTCTTCTTACTTCAAAATTAAAATTCTCTTTTTAGTTATATTCACCAACGATAACCCCTTATAAATTTCACTCTATTTTTATTCTTCGGAGTTGATTAAGGCTTTTGATTCTTTCTGGGTCTATGCTGTTTGATTCTCTTTGATATTTTTGTTTTTCCTTTTTGCAGTGTGGAGTACAATGTTTCGTATGTTTATCATGCGATGTTTGCCTACTTCGACAGGGATAATGTTGCGCTAAAGGGTCTTGCCAAGTAATGATTTGGTTATAATTATTAACGGTTTCTGCTTTCTGGTGTTTTAATTTACCTTGTGGGGAGTTGTTAATTAATGATTTCCATCGTTGCAGATTTTTTAAGGAGTCAAGTGAGGAGGAAAGGGAGCATGCTGAGAAATTGATGGAATATCAGGTATAAATTAGTACGGCTTTTAGTCTATACAAAGATTCAGCCTCAAATTTCAGATGCTAACTTTAAGAATTGTTTTCTAGAAAGCAATACTGAGAAATTTGTTATGTTAATGTAATTTTCAGAACAAACGTGGTGGAAAAGTGAAGTTGCAATCTATTGTGATGCCTCTTTCTGAGTTTGACCATGAGGAAAAGGGAGATGCCCTGTATGGTTAGTGTGCATGACCCTCTCTTGTTCTGTTTTTTTTTTCCATATAATTTATAACCAAACCGTTCTCTTTTTGCTGCACCGTGTGCATTTATTATAACAAGATATGGGTTGAACATTTAAAGATTGTGTATAAGTATAACAAACATAGAACAAAAGCTGAAATAATTAAGATTCACAGCAATTCTTAATTGTATGATTTGAAATTGCATTTATTACTATATTTCTAATGATAAACACTATTGTCTATAAAGTCGAAATGAATTCTGATTGCACTTTACGTTTAACCTGTTTCTATGCACACGTTGAGTTAATTTTGTAAGATTATAAAATTTCTTACCAGAATCGTTTCATATGTAACAAATGATGTAAGACAACTTGTTCAAAGTTTTCGCTTTGCCTGATGAACTTCCCCTGTAAATTTGTAAGTATGACACTAAATGTGTTTGTGCTTTTTACTTGTTGCAGCAATGGAACTTGCTCTGTCTTTGGAGAAGCTGACAAATGAGAAGCTTCTTAACTTGCACGGTGTAAGATGAGTTTTTTGTTTGTCTCATTTATGTCCAATTCAATGTTATTAAAATGCGGATTCCTTTCTCTGAATTTATTGCATGTTGTTTGACAGGTTGCCTCAAAGAACAATGATGTGCAATTGACAGATTTTATTGAAAGCGAATTTTTAGGTGAACAGGTAATGTGGAGTTGCAAATTACGGGAGCTTTTTTTGTCTTATAGTTTATTAGAGAAATTATTAAGTGACTTTGATCAATATTTAATTGACATACTTTAAATTTTAAATTGACCAAACAAAAATAATTTGTTTCTATTTGGGTAGGTCGAAGCCATTAAAAAAATCTCCGAGTACGTTGCTCAGCTCAGAAGAGTTGGCAAAGGACATGGTAAAAAACTATTTGTTCAGCTGCATCCTACTCTGCTGAATATGTCATTCCCAAATGCTTTCAAAGAAAAAAAAAATCTAATTGCTTTGTTTTCTTTGATGTGAATTTTCAGGTGTGTGGCACTTTGATCAAATGCTGCTCCGTGAGGAGGGAGTTAATGCTTGATTACACTTTTGTTTTCACTATCTAGTTAGTTCTTATCTGGTTCTTCCAAATGGTATTTTAAGGTTTTGGCTAGAGATGAAGAAATGAGGATATGGAATGATATGGAATTGGAACTCAAATTATAATTATAATATTATGCTTATATGTTTTCATAACTTAAAAGTATAAATAATATTAATTTTATAAGTACTGTTTATCATATTGGTTTTTTATTTGGTATTTCATGGTAATACATATATCAGGTGAAAAGCTCGATTATTTTGAGCTTCATATACACTGTCATATGATGTCTGGGAAGTTTTAATTCAAGGCCTTTTTGAAAGTCAATGTTCAACAATGAGTAGAGAGAGCTTTTTGGTCTATATCTCTAGCTTATGTGGTTCTTATACTTCTCATGGATGTATTCACTAAAAACAAAAATTTAATTTATTCTAGAAAAAGGAATGAATTTTTAGTTTATCTCACTGTGATTTCATATGTTTTATTTTCAGGAAAATATTTAATATTTTTAATCGCTGTTTTCATTTTTTTTATCTTTAATTATAGATGGATTAATATTGAGAATGAAAATTATTAATTAATATAATGAGGATAATATATAATATTTCAATTTAAGATGATTAAACTTTTTAAACATTTAATTTAATTAAATAATATATTTATATTTTTATATAGAATTTGATTGTAATTTTTCAATAATTTAGTTTTAACGTTGTATTTTTATTAAAAGTAATTATAATTTAATTAGAGCTTAAAACGTGTTCTCTACAAATTCATTTCGATATTTTATTATAAAATATTTATATCTTGAATAGAAGTTTTATTTATGAAGACAAAAATAATGAAAGATGGTTTATTTTAAAATTATTAATTTTAACATATTAAAAGTACGCATGATATGAAACAATACACATTATTTTTTGTTTTTACTCAGTTTAAAATTAATATAAATTAATATTCAAATATTTTTTAAATACTTGTAATGTAGAAACGAAAATAAAAATTAAAATATAGGGGGGCTCCAATCCTTACTTAAAAAATTCGAACTTAAATATTTATATTACTATAACATAAAAATAAAATTAAAAAAATACCCGTGACGGATTATGATGCTTCCATTGTCGATAATTGATGTTGAAATATATATTTATTAAAAATTTAAATATAGCCCAAATACGATAGTAAACAGGAATAAAAATGTTAAGGAATATATAAAAATATAAATAAAATTCATTCACTTGTCTAGTTATGGTTTTAGGTTAGACTATAAGTCTATTCCTTACGGGTATTGAACTCAAATGCATGTTGTTTTAAGAGATTCGTGAATTGTATCAAAATCAAAGATTAAAAAAAAAACAGTAAATAAAAAAAATCGAAAAATAAATTTTATTTTTTTAACATAAATCATTTTATTAATTTTATTGGGATAGAAGCGGATCAATGTTTGGGCTTATATTGAGTCAATTAAGAGCCCATGAACATGGAACATATGAAGCTTTAGGATTTGTTCAGATGCTGTCTGTTTGAATTTGCTCTCCTACACAACTGAAAGAAACGAACCGAAGTAAGCATGGGTCCGAACCTGGAATGTCGTATGTACGAGGCGAAGTACCCGGAGGTGGACATGGCGGTGATGATACAGGTGAAGAACATCGCTGACATGGGTGCCTACGTGTCGCTTCTGGAGTACAACAACATCGAGGGCATGATCTTGTTCTCAGAGCTCTCCCGCCGTCGGATTCGGAGCGTCAGCAGCCTCATCAAGGTGGGGCGCATCGAACCGGTCATGGTCCTCCGTGTCGACAAGGAAAAGGGCTACATCGATCTCAGCAAGCGCAGGGTCTCCGAAGAGGACATTCAGGCCTGCGAGGAGAGGTACAACAAGAGCAAGCTCGTCCATTCCATCATGCGCCACGTCGCCGAAACCCTAAACATCGATTTGGAGGACCTCTACATTCACATTGCATGGCCGTTGTATCGCAAATATGGTCATGCTTTTGAGGTCCCCATTGTTCTCTCTTTTGTAATTCTTTTATGCTTTTTTTTTATCACTCTTTTATTAGTCGTAGTTGCTGATTAAAATTCACTCTTTGCAGGCTTTCAAAATAATTGTGACTGATCCTGATTCTGTTTTGAATACTCTCACCCGTGAGGTCAAGGAAGTTGGCCCTGATGGGCAGGAGGTAAACGTTTTTATCAGAGTAAAACTTACTCACCACGTTTTCTTATGTCTTGTTGTTGGATAAATGTATTTTTTGTTGTCGGCCATAGGTGACTAAGGTAGTGCCAACTGTTTATGAAGAAGTGAAGGATTCTCTTGTGAAGAATATTAGAAGACGGATGACCCCCCAGCCCTTGAAAATTAGGGCGGATATTGAAATGAAATGTTTTCAATTTGATGGCGTTCTTCACATTAAGGTCTTATTTATTTCTATTCCTCCTTTTCTTATTTGGATAAAAGATCTTCTTTTTCCTTCAAGCATCTATCTGCTATTTTGATTCGTTGCTGCCTATAACTTATCTACAATAGTATTCTCAGGTTTTACGATTATTTTCTTATGTAGGAGGCAATGCGTAAAGCTGAAGCTGCTGGAAACGACGACTGCCCTGTCAAAATTAAACTTGTTGCTCCCCCACTTTATGTTCTTACCACTCAGACACTGGACAAGGTTACTGCAACCTTCACATATATTTTGATATGATTATTGGCTTTTTGACCAGAATTGAGCGCATATTCTTCCCTTGAAGATTTTTGCTTCAGTATACAAATTTTTTGATATGTGAAGTATGAGTTTGTCACTATTGTTGTATTTTAGATAGTGTTTGAAGGTATTGGGGTTGTAGAACTAGGTTGGTGAATTTTTAACCTACTATGATTGCCAAACAGCCAAATAGAATTCGCCCTGAAAGGCCTGAACATGCTCTTGCAATATGTTGTGTATCTTTCGTTACCCGATGAAAATTAATTTCTCTTAGACATTTTTTTTTTATATTGATACCTGTGTCAATAAATCTAGAAGTAGCTTTATTCATGGCTTGAGATTATTAAAATCACATCTGCTAGGCAATATCATGTGTGGTATTTAATATACATATACAAGAGACAATTGTAGATTTGTGTAATAAATTCCAATTGATAAACTTACCCGTCGAAAATAATTTGCGTATTTTGTGACGATCTGGATAGGAGCAAGGAATATTGGTTTTAAACAATGCCATTACCGCTTGCACTCAAGCAATAGAGCAACACAAGGGTAAACTTGTGGTTAAGGAAGGAGCTAGAGCAGTGAGTGTCACTTCCTCTTTTTGTTTTTTGATTATCATCTATATATTTTATGCATACAAAATATGTTTTCATCTGCCTTTGGATCCTGTTCTCTAGCACTTTTGACACTGCATTTTGTTTCAGGTGAGTGAACGTGATGATAAATTGCTTGCTGAGCACATGGCCAAGTTACGCCAAGATAATGAGGAGGTAAGTGGTGATGAAGACAGTGAAGAGGAAGAAGATACAGGAATGGGTGAGGTTGATGTGGATAACGGTTCTGGGATAACAGAGTGAAAAACAAAAAACAAAAACTTGTGGGTATTGTAAGGCATCGATAGCAGAGTATCGATAGCAGAATACGGCTTTACTAATTGTGTCTTCTTTATCATTCTTTATGAACTGCTTTCAAATGCTGTTGTATAATACAATTTTGAATTACTATTTGTTGAGTTGAGTCATGTATATTGCGAAGCGAGATTGGAGTTTATTGATGAGGATGTTCAACCCAAACTAAGAAGTTTATCGGCCCTCTCTTTCTCTTCCCATTTTCTCACTGGTTTTTGCTATTGATTAGTAGATGCTTGCCAAGGCAATTCTCTTAGATAACACTAATTGCTTGCAGTTTCTATTTGAAGTTGTATTAATTTTTACTCGATTATCTATCCACATTTATAAATATCCGTCCATAGTATCCTTTACGTGCAAAATATAGTTGCAGAAATTGGATTTGGAAATCATATATTTCGCTGCTTTCTTTTCATTTTCTCAATATTTTCATCACATAGAAATATATGTAGATACACTTGATACATCTTATATATAATCTTAAGTGGAACATATTTAATCATTATGTTGGTTTTCGGTGAAATTATCTATTAGATACAATTTATACGATTTGAATCTTAGACTTTCGCATATGTTAATTCTAAATTACTAAGTCATGGGTGAGATTTATTAAATAAAAAAAATACGGTTTTCACAGTTTTTGTTATTTAAAATAATTTTTAACTAATAGTAAAAATACTTTAAAATATAGTATTAGTATATATATATATATATATTTACACAGTATAATATACAATTAGTTAATTATAATTAAGATAAAATCGTGTGAAAAGTTGAATTATGATATGCCAACATGTGAATAATTTTTAAAATTTCACAATCGAGAATCAATTTTTTTGTGAGTATTGATTCACATTAAACATTACATTACACGACCTCTTGTTAAATTTTATCTTACAAGTAATTAGTTGTCACTAAATTATTCCCTCCCGAAAACATTACTCACATGTCAATAATAATATACAATTATGTTCGTTTACTTTTAGTCACTTATCAAATCAAATCAAATATATATTTTTTATATATATATATATATATATATATATATATTACATACTTGTTTTTTCTTTTTATCTATTTTCTTATTACATCATATAACCTACAAAATTATATTTTTATTTTCTCACTATATGTATATTAAGTACTAATAATAATTTTTTTATTACTAAGTCGTATTTGGATAGGCACCTGTTATGTTTCTCTGTTTCCTTATGTTTCTTACACGGTCATATTTCACACTGTACAATGTATAAAATTGCTAGTGAAGCATTACGTAGAGTTGTACTTAGAATTGAGTTGTACTCAGAATTTTTTAATGTAACAACTTTACCTAAAGAAGAGAGAGAGAGAGAGAGAAAGTGTATGTTGGTGCATTATATTTACATGGCGATAAATAGTAGAAGGTTTCAAATGTGATGACGTGTCATTCTGAATTGCGTATCCTATGGAAAGTCAAGATCTGATATTGGGTCTTTAGCCTTTGACTGACACAACACCTACCTTTCTAACTTTCACGTTCATTCCTAAAGCCCCACTGTCACATCTTCTCTGTCGCACGATTTCAGTTCGTTAACCATGAAAACATT